GTAGTTTTTCTGAAAATGTCATGTTTCGTAACTTTGTTTGTTTTTTGGTCTTTCAAAAAGAGGACTGCTAAGGCTTTGGATGTCGAAGTGTTTCCCTCTGGAGGTTGAACTCCTAGAAAAATTTTTTCGTCTCTTGCGTCCATAAGATTTTTGAATTTTTTAATTTTTCAATTTTGTCAGATGCAGGAGAGAGTTCTTTGCTGTTTTATTAATAAATTATGAACTTTATTATGTAGCAACTTTTGATAATTATTTTCGGATTTTTTAAGAAATATCAATGTCGATCATTTTATCTTTGATATTTTTTTAAAAATCCGAAAATAATTATCAAAAGTTACTACATACTAAAGTTCATTATTTATTAATAAAATAGCAAATATGTTACTAATTGATCTTATAGCCAAGAACATGGTACATCTTTTATAACGTTTTTAGAATTTTTACTTACGAATTGAATTTAATATCAACGGCTGAACATCGGACGTTCGAAAATTATTCTCTGGAATTCAATCGCTATTTATTCGCTCAATTTTAATTAAATATGTCTGAATACTTTACATAAGATACTACATATTCTCAGCTTTAATGTCACTTAGTATTATTTTTATTAGAACTTTAGTGAAAAAAAAAGTTTTATATGTAGAAACGATTGATAATTATTTTCGGATTTTTTTTTATTTTTTTAAAATTTTTAATAAATTTCGGCCGTTTTTATTCCCGTCTAAGTGAAGTCAAAATTTTCATTAGATACCATGAAAAGCTCTTCTAATTAAAGTTGTAGATATTGTTTTTGGCTACAATTTCTTATAAGATAGTTGGTATCTTTCTTTAAAATTCATTGAGTCCGGTATGGGTAACGTTTAAAAATTAAATTTATAATTTTTTTTCAATTTTATTTGAAGTGCAATTTCTCTACATATAAGTATTTAATTTTAATAAAAAATATTTCATATGATAGCCCCAGTGTAAGGGAATCTATTAAAAAGAAGTTTGTGCAATTTAGATTACTCATTGTGGCACAATTAGCATTTTAATTTTAGTGATTTTTTTAAAAAATTTCAACTGTCCGGTGACTTTTGATACCCCACTGTACATAAGTAAGTGGAGTAAAAGTATCCTTTTACAGCTCACTATGTAAACTTTTGAATCTTAACTTCGGACTTTATTCAATAACTTTATTCAAGAAATTATAAAATTAGTAATAGAGATATTATGGTGTTACCTTTGATTTTATCTTTATTTTTATTAATTATTTATATATGTTATTATTATATATTCTATCGTATATGTATTATTTTATTATTAGTTATTATATATTTATTTCTTATTATTATATATTGTATTACAGTAAATCAATTTAATAGTCTGTAGTACAAATTAGATATTATTACTTAAATTAGTAAATTCCTAAATTCTTGTTAATCTGTAATACTAGAACACAAATTAGAGTACAAGCCAGAGTATGAGTTAATATCTCAGTTAAAGTACAAGTTAAATTAACAGTTAAGATACCAGTTAGGATATTAACATAGTTACTAGTGAAGTTTACAACTACATTACAAGTTAACTTAGTAGTTAAAATCCTAATGTATATAAAGACTAAGAATTTCCTCAACTTAGTCTTTAGTTTCTAGTCAGTTTTTTAGTTTTAAATAATTAGGATTTATTAATTAATATTTTCAATATTTATTATTTTATTAATTCAATTGCAAGGTAATTTTTACAAGTATTTATCTTGGAGTTACAAATTATAAAATTAAATTTATCGATTTCAAATAAGTTACAAATTATCAAAATTCAAAATTATAAAATTGTAAACTAAAAAGGGGCAAAGTAATTTCAGTCCTTTTTTTATATCTAAATCTAATGATCTTCATTACTATTCCATTGCTGTATCTAATGTGTCTTATTGTGTTTTATTGTACCTTACTGTATACTACTACCATTGATTACTATTTCTTTATATTATTTACTAAATATATCTAATACTAATTAATACTATAAGTTAATAATTATTGTTAAATAATATTAAGTGATAATAATTAATATTATGAATTGATAGATATATTTGTGTAACTAAATATTATGTGAACACATGATCTTGTATTACTATTTCGCGACTAATTAATTGTGTTGCAGACTATAAATATTAGTTGAAAAATTATTAAAATATTATTATTTGTTATATGAGTTAATATTTACTAATTAAATTTTAAATACTATTATTTTCTAAAATTATTATTAATTATCTGCAGGTGTTCTAGTATTATATACTATACTTTTTTATAATAATTTCATTCTGTAACAGTTCCCTCTCACTTAAATAAAATATTCTCGTTTTGATATATAGTTATTTTCTAACTTTGTATATTCACATTCTTAATTCTTCGTGCTTTAGTAATTCTTTCTAAATTATCAAATTCAGTATCTTCTATCTTATCCATGTGTATTCTTGTTACTGCAGTGGTTTTTATTCCTTTCTTCAGGTATTTATTTTCAATTTGATTTCTCAATGTATATAATTCTTCCATATAACATACAAATATATTACTGTTTGCTGTTTCGGTCATTATTTCAGTGTTACCCTTTTTTCCTCCATATATGATAAATCCTATTCTATTAGGTCTAGAAGATAATAATTCTTTCATTTCATTTATTACACTATTTTCTAATCTTTTTGTCATTTTACATTATGCTATCCATTATAATGTTTGGTTATATATTACTATATCTCCAAATAAATCTACTTCCTCATCTCCTATAATTTTTTTTAGTTTTATCTTTTCTTCATTTTCTTCTAAAAGATGAGCTTTTTTCATTATTGTTATCATATTTTGAGCTTTCAATATTTGTATTGTCTTTTCTTCTGAGCTGTCTCCTTTAATTCTATTATTCTGAATTTTAAATATTTCTTTTATCCAGGTTTTGATTATTTTTATTGCATTTAAGTCAGTTATCTCCTCTTCTATTTTTCTCTTCTTTTTTGATAATATCTTATCTATAATATTCTCTAATTCAGAAATATATTTCCTTTTCATTAATAATATCAACTATAAAGTTATTAATTTTTTCTTTTGAAATAAGAGTTTCTTTAGTGATTATTTTTATATTCGGGAATATTTTAAAAGTATTTTCTTGATATGTTTCTGCCAATGTTTGAAAATATTTTATGTCTTCCTCTTCAGATCTTTCTTTGAATCTCAGTCTTTTTATAGTTTTTTCAATTGAGGTGTTTCACAAAATTACTAATGCTTACCTTAATATCCTTCCTATTGTTTATAATTTTTGTAAATTTCCTTTTTATCCTCTTCTTCAAAATATCATTCTTTTTTCATTGTTTCCATGAAGAATTTTGTTGACATTAAGTTTTGGTTTATCAATATTACATCTGGTTTTTTTTCATATGTTGTTACCTCTGCTTTTATTTTTATATTTATTAATTATTTATTTATATATTTTATTATCATATTTATTCATATCTGTATTATTTTATTATTAATTATTATATATTTTATCATTATATATAGTATTACAGTAGATCAATTTAATAGTCTGTAGTACAAATTAAATATTATTACTTAAATTAGTAAATTCCTAAATTCTTGTTAATCTGTAACACTAGAATACAAAGTTAGAGTACAAGTCAGAGTACAAGTTAATATCTTAGTCAAAGTACAAGTTAAATTAACAGTTAAGGTACTAGTCAGGATATTAGCATAGTTACTAGTGAAGTTTACAGTCA